ATTTTTCGGGACGAACAATACTAATGAAGGGGCAGTGCTACGACAGCGGAAGTCAAGTGACGCTGGTAACACGTCATGATATTCTCGAAGGTTCGTGAATGCTCGAGTGTTTGCTAGATGTGCGGTATTCTTGTATATAAGTGCGCCAGACAATGAATCGATATAGAATTGCAGACAGATAGAGACGGACAATTGAGTCAAGCGCGGTAGTAAGTAAGTGCGTGAATCGTTCGTTGTGAATTACAGCGTGTGTTTAAGTTAAATTGATTGTGAAAATTAAGTGTATTGCAAAGTTGTATTGAGAAAGAATAAACTAGTTTTACTTAAGAAAGGACTTGTATCTCTGAAGTGTTTCGGATGGAATTTTTACGGGAAATTAACAAACAACCAGAGACGTAACAGTAGGAATAAAAGTTTTCTGAGATTGTGTTGGTTTTTTCAATTGTAGTAGCATCTTATTTAGTTGGTTTTCATGTGTTTTTGTTGGTTTGTGAAGACTGATAGGATGTCATTCATTTTTTGAATGCACTCACTTGTGTTCATTATTACAATGGCATTGCCTTTATCTGCTTTTAGAATCTTGATGTTGTTGACTTGTTTTAGGTTGTTTATAGAATTAATATCGTTTTGTGTAAGGTTGTTTTTTCGCTTTCTTTTCTGTGAAATTATATTGGTGGTTTTGTGTTAGAATTCTTTGAAAAAGTTGTTTAAAATACTGTTTTGAGGTGTTTCGGGGAAATAGATGTTTTCAGTTTTACCTGGAAAGATAAGTTGTTGGTTATGGATGAAATTGGTGTTGATGTTGTCTTCTTTCCGATGGCTGTTTTCCGTAGTTTTGTTGGTGTTTTCGGTCTGTATAGAATGGACTACTAGTCTTTTGCATAGGTATTCAAGGCATGCTTTTATTTCGATAGATGGAATATTTCTTGGCGTTACTGCGAAGTTGAGTCTTCAGCGCTTAATTGTCGATCGGATCTGTTAATTATGAGATTGGTTGATGGTTCGTCGTGTTGATGTCTTTTATGTTGTTGGCATCATAGTTAATCTACTTTTCAGTTATGGTGGGTCTTTTCTTTTTGTCTTCCTTGCTGTTGATTAGGTCAAGAAATCGCACAGGTAAGTTATTTTTCTTACGCTATTCGTAATACCATTAACAGGGTATTTCTGTTTGAGCGTCACTTTTAAAGTTACTTAAGACCAGGCTCAAATTGAATATTTTTAGAAGTGGGAGATGGTCCAACTTCTATACATTTTCTTTCCAAGTCTATATTCAGAAGAACCGTAAAGAAATTCGACGCCCCAATCGCAAAACAATGTAATAGCTGGGGAGATGTCAATTTTAGGCAGAGGGCACATTACATAGAATGGATTTCGAATTATTTTCACAAAATAATTTAAAATAATTCGCCCAATGAAAGTTTGGTTTCGTTTGAATTTCGTGTAAACGTACACAAGGACTATCGGCGCTAGCTGTCCCTAATTTAGCGGTGAAAGACTAGAGAGAAAACAACAAGTCAGCACCACCCACCGCCAACTCTTGGGCTACTATTTTATCAATGAATAGTGGGTTTTACCGTCTCATTATAATGCCCCCACGGCTGAAAGGGCGAAAATGTTTGGTGAGAGGGTGATTCGAACCGGAGATCATAAGATTGCGAATCTAGATCCCAGATATTTTAAAAGGACCCGCCAATGAAAGAACATCAATACAATAGGTACAAAAAATGACAAATAAAACTCATTCATTACAATAGATAATATCGAACTAAATTCTGTGATTAAACTTTTAAATTGATATCCACATTATTTTATTTTCTCCTATTTTTATATGCTATTTTTTCTTTGCCAGTTTAAAAATTTAAAAATAGAAAATCAAAACCAATAAACGCGTCAAAAATAGAAATTAAGAGAATCAATTTTATAACAAAAATATATATCAAAACCCAAACAAAAATTGCAAGGTCAAACTGAAACTAAATTTATTAAAAACCAATTGAACAGAACAAAAGACATTTCATGAGAGGAAAATATTCTAAACAAACAAAAAATATAAAATTAGAAACGTCAACATTAGCAAGTGAATAAAATATTGTGATGTGGAGGCATATGATGTGTTTTCTTCCTGCTTTAGTTTTATAGGATTTAAAAAAATATTTGTTTATATGCAGTTTCAGCATAAAATGTGGCCCATAAAGTAGTTAAGGTTGCTTTATTGTAGTAGCTATATGTATGCGTTCTCTGTAGCAGATAAGTTCTATTCTGTCTGAGAGGATATTGCTGTACGATATAGCGTCTAGATTGTAAGAATTAGCAATGTAATATCCTTTACTGACTGAGTTGATGTTGTTTAGATGGACTGTGCTGTGAGAAAACTGGATAAAGAAAGTGAGCTTTCCTGTTGAATTCAGGTGCACTTTATTCAGCCAGTTCTACTACTTTATTTAACCAGTTCTACTACTTTATTTAGCCACTTCAACTACTTTATTTAACCAGTTCTACTACTTTATTTAGTCAGTTCTACTACTTTATTTAACCAGTTCTACTACTTTATTTAGCCAGTCTTACTACTTTATTTAGCCACTTCTACTACTTTATTTAACCAGTTCTACTACTTTATTTAACCAGTTCTACTACTTTATTTAGCCACTTCTACTACTTTATTTAACCAGTTCTACTACTTTATTTAGCCACTTCTACTACTTTATTTAGCCACTTCTACTACTTTATTTAACCACTTCAACTACTTTATTTAGCCACTTCTACTACTTTATTTAGCCACTTCTACTACTTTATTTAGCCACTTCTACTACTTTATTTAGCCACTTCTACTACTTTAGTTAGCCACTTCAACTACTTTATTTAGCCACTTTAACTACTTTATTTAGCTACTTCTACTACTTTATTCAGTCAGCTCTACTACTTTATTTAGCCACTTCTACTACTTTATTTAGTCAGCTCTACTACTTTATTTAGCCACT